CAGCTCCTCTTCCTCACATGTCTGCTGAATCCCTCACAGCTCTTTGTGTAATAATTATTATTATGTGTACTTCTACTTTTACTCAAGTACAAGACCTGAGTACTTCTACTTTTACTGAAGTACAAGACCTGAGTACTTCTACTTTTACTCAAGTACAAGATCTGAGTACTTCTACTTTTACTGAAGTACAAGATCTGAGTACTTCTACTTTTACTCAAGTACAAGACCTGAGTACTTCTACTTTTACTGAAGTACAAGATCTGAGTACTTCTACTTTTACTCAAGTACAAGATCTGAGTACTTCTACTTTTACTACAAGATCTGAGTACTTCTACTTTTACTCAAGTACAAGATCTGCGTACTTCTACTTTGACTCAAGTACAGACCTGTGTACTTCTACTTTTACTCAAGTACAAGATCTGAGTACTTCTACTTTTACTACAAGATCTGAGTACTTCTACTTTTACTCAAGAACAAGACCTGAGTACTTCTACTTTGACTCAAGTACAGACCTGAGTACTTCTACTTTTACTCAAGTACAAGACCTGAGTACTTGTACTTTGACTCAAAGTCTAATGAGTATTCCTCTGGTTCTCTTCGTCTCCGTTTGAAGTGTTTCTTTGCTTTCCTCCGCTCATTATCCTCTGATGTCGTTATCATTTCATCCTTTCTTCTTCTCCAGCTTCTAGAGCTATTTGTGTCCCCGGTGTTTCCACAGCGGAGGACTCCTCAGGTCACGTTCTGTATTATGTGCAGAGAGAATGATCACATCTGTCGTGTCAGCGTCCCTCCAACAAGGATCATTAAATATGTATAAAAAGAACAAAGTTAAAAAATGATACTCTGGACAAAACATGTCGAAGAGAGGATAGAATAATGTCCTCCAGAGACGCTCACTGAGAGTCCATTACGTTCTATACACACTGATAACATTGGCTTTAAAGAGGCCATGTTCCTCTGCTGTAGTTCTATAGATGTTAGTGCATGTCAATGGTCTGCAGAGGCTCAAATCCCTGTGTTTCGGAAAACATTGTACGTGATGAAATCTCTCTTTTGCCTTGAATTTCTCGCTCTATAAAAACAGAAAAAGGAAACACAAATCTGAGGTTTCTGATCTCTGGTTCTTCCTCAGTCTTTCATGTATTTGCCAGGTTTTTGTGGAGAGAAAACTAAAGTGAACAGTGAACTGATTACAGTTCCAATGCCTGACTAAGACGCGTTAGCATTTAGCATGCAGATAGCTCCAGGCTGACGCTGAGATAACGAGATAATCATTTACAGACGGACGTTTTGAAACCTTATCTTTGCTGTGTGTTCCTCACTCTTTGCACTTGACAAAATCAGAGAAAGAAAACCAGAATCTTAAATCTCTCTGGTCGTGTTCGGCAGAGTTTCTTGTATTTCATTTGAGGATATATTCTGGGGTGAAAGCAAAGGTGAGCAGTGAAGTGATTCTCTGTTAGTTCCAGGTTGATAGGTGTTGATATTAACACTGAGAAATAACAACATGATCGTTTCCAGATTTCCTTTTGCCCCCTTGTGTTTCTCACTCTTAGCACTTCACACAGACAGAAAACACTACACCCTCCCCTCCATCTCCTCACATCCCTTCCTCTGCTCTCTAATTCTCACTTCACATAACCCCCGCTCATTAATGGCAGTATCTGGGGCGCCTTTGTCTTCTTCGTTGGTGCTGTGATCGCTCACTCAGTCCTCCCAGAATCAGCTGATGATGACAGTAATGAACGAGGCCTCTGTCTTCCTCTCTGGAAAGCAAAGCAAAGCTAGACAAGTGTGTTCATACAGCAGCTCTCAACACAAGAGCAGGAAGAGATGCAGCGGACCAGATCATAACAACTGAACTCCTCCAGGTTTAGTTCTGGTTCTGGGGACAGAAAGTAGACCTAGTGGTTCATGATGGTTTAAAGTCTAAAGAAGTCACGAGTCGTCGGTTTAAACTCTAAAGACCTCACGAGTCATTGGTTTAAAGTCTAAAGAAGTCACGAGTCATTGGTTTAAAGTCTAAAGAAGTCACGAGTCATTGGTTTAAAGTCTAAAGAAGTCACGAGTCATTGGTTTAAAGTCTAAAGAAGTCACGAGTCATTGGTTTAAAGTCTAAAGAAGTCACGAGTCATTGGTTTAAAGTCTAAAGAAGTCACGAGTCATTGGTTTAAAGTCTAAAGAAGTCACGAGTCATTGGTTTAAAGTCCAAAGAAGTCACGAGTCATTGGTTTAAAGTCTAAAGAAGTCACGAGTCATTGGTTTAAAGTCTAAAGAAGTCACAAGTCATTGGTTTAAAGTCTAAAGAAGTCACGAGTCATTGGTTTAAAGTGTAAAGAAGTCACGAGTCATTGGTTTAAAGTCTAAAGAAGTCACGAGTCGTTGGTTTAAAGTCTAAAGAAGTCACGAGTCATTGGTTTAAAGTCTAAAGAAGTCACAAGTCATTGGTTTAAAGTCTAAAGAAGTCACGAGTCATTGGTTTAAAGTCTAAAGAAGTCACGAGTCATTGGTTTAAAGTCTAAAGAAGTCACGAGTCATTGGTTTAAAGTCTAAAGAAGTCACGAG